CTGGAGACAGGAACCCGGCCTGTGTGACGTTTGGTCTGACCCAGGACAGCTATTCTTACGGCCCTGTCTCACGTTTCACCTCTATCTAATGCAGTAGATGTGTGAAAGTCTTATTTTATACACCAGAGCATAGAGGGAAACAAGATTTCTGACCTAATTTTATATCCTTTGTTTTCACTTCCTATGGCAAGAGCGAAGTGTGTGCTTCTCTTGGCTGTGCTGAGGTCTGTCCTGTCACGACGGAGTGCCCAAGGCTGTGAAGCTGGCGGTGTTTGTGCCCATGACCCTAGAACCGAGCTCGTGCTTCCGTCAGGCTCCTGCAGATCGCTTCCCACTCGTGAGTTCCAAACTTAGATTATGTACCAGCCATTTTGGCACACCTCTGAGGTGTGCGGTAGCTGAATACTCCTTCCAGCCTCATTCAGCCCAGAAGCTCTAACAGTATCGGTTGCTCCTTACTTGGAGCCATTAACTTTTCTTAGGCTGGTAAACCTTCATTGTGTTTTATCCACAAAGCGGCTGCAGTTTGGTGATAGAAGAACCAGTGCCTCTCTTCTTTTTTTCAGCAGGTGTTGGTTAGCTTCCGCAGCCTATTTACATGTTACTCATTCACAAGTGCCACACATGTGCTCCTCTGGGCCTTTAAATACCCTACTGCTTGCTGGTACACTCTGCTCTGTACCTCTAGGGCAGGTCTGCAGTTGGCCTTTCTGCAGAAGGTTACTCCACCCTTAGGAAATCCAGGGTTCTGGTTCCCACAGTGCTTATGACTCAGCAGTGTAGCTGCCCTTAAACAGAATTACTCGTCCAACAACTTAAAATGCTTTGCAAGCACTAATGAATTAAGCCTCCCAATGTCTTGAGACGCAAAGTATTACTGATAGGTAAACCAAGGCAGAGTGTGAGTCATGTGCAGAAGTGCATTGCAAACACTCTCGCTCGCAGCCCTACAAGAAATATTGACCGCATGGAAGTCAGAAGTAAAATCCCTTTAACTTATTAAGGCCAGAATTTCACCCTTGAAGTCCTATCTCCTGCTTTTCTTCACTGAGCTCTCCAGGCCAGATCTTTAGCCGCTGAAAACCAGTTGAGCACAATGCATTATTCAGCCTGAGGATCTTTTGAAGATGCCCATTTCAGTCGGGGTGCAGCCATGTACAAATTGCTGCATGTACACGGGGGGCCTGAATTGTAGTTGCTTTGAGTAGCTCAAGAGCGGTGCATGTAAAATTCCTGCTGCAATGCTCTGCTTGCATATGCCTGTGTCACACGAGGTGCAGAGCCGATGTGTCTTCCTTTGAGGCTGGTGAATGCTTTTCAATGTCTGGCACTCGGCTTTTTACATTGCGTAAAGTTACTTCCTGCTAATCTTCCTATTCTGACATAATTAGATTACATCCACTTTAGAAGCCGTTATAAACATCTCATGTGCCAAGGTCCAGCGTTACAGACAGTACTTTGCTTCGGGCCTGAATCAGTTCCCTATTATAGAGTTAGATCCTACTTCGTTGAAGCTGCTGGGAGAATGCCCAGGACTTTGGTGGGACGAGGATCACAGCCTTTAGAGGGAGCGCCTGGCTTACGAGGGTCAGGTGTCGTGAAGTCAAGTCTTTCTATTAGGAAAGTTGTAATTTCCTTTTAAAGCTCAGTGACTCATTGAATCATGGCTGTGAACAATCCCACAGGATTTCCTTAGATTTGTGATACCTGAAGGTAAGCTTGAAATGGCGCCCCTGGAAAAATTCTTCGTTCAGGGACCTGATCCATCTCATTTTCAAGTCAGTGACTAAACTTTTGTTTACTGCTGTAATACAGATCAAGACAGTTGCATAATCTTGGGGCCTGATCCTGCATCAGCCTCCAATAAAACAGTAGAAAGGGCTACTAGGAGAGAATCAGTTGAAACATGGAATCTGTAGTCATAAAGAATTCATAAAGCTTGATGACCTCATTTCACAGCAAATGAAGAGGCTGGAGGAGCCCTTTGTTTCTCTGTAGATCTTTATAAAAGTAGTTTTGTTTCTTGGTGTTAGCCACCCTCTAAAATTCATTTGCTGCAGTTTTAGATGCAATTCTGGGCAAACTGAGTGAAAGAGTGAAGATTTCACCCACTTGGATAATCCTTTATCTAGGAGTTAAGCTTCCCTATTGCGAGGAGAAGAATGTATTGCTCCAGTCAATCGCGGATGAGTGAGCTTTTAGATAAGGCCTTGCCTATAATACACCCATAACACTTTATTTTCCTCTTGCTGTACTGGAACTGACCTCCCCACTTGGGTGAGTGTCGCGCAGGCAGAGATAGGGACTGTGCCGTGCTGCTTGGCTGACACACATTTCAGAGCAACACATTCCAGCAGATGAACCCATTTGCACAGTTGAGTGATCTAAACTTAGAAAGCTTATTTCTCTAATTACAAAGTGAGACTGAACTCCTGTAAAGCTTTTCATCACCTGAGTGGAATGGGAATTGCGCTTCCATAATCATTTAATGTTTAGAAACTAATTAGAAAGCGTTTTGTGGGGAAGCCACACCCCATGTTAGACTATTTCACAAATGGATCAGGAGAGAAAACTACCTACCATGAGAAAGTTGAGCAAGTGGCGGAGGTTAGGAGAAAGGGTACAGTTTACCAAACACTGAGTTCCATAAAAGCTGCGTTTCTTCAGAGCCAGGTGATTTCTTGAAGCTGTATCTCTAGGCAAGCTTTCCAAATGTGACAAAAGATTTTGGAGAAGAAGATGTTCTGGTGACCAGAGATCCAAATCCAGTTGGCTGCTACAAGCCCTTACTTTCCTCTTTCCCTGGAGCATGTTGCTAAAGAGAATCAAAATTTCAGAGCCCTGTTGTATATATTGTGCACGTGCGTTTTGTGACTTTGAAATTGCCATCTTAGTTTTTCTGTACCTTACCTCCCTGGAATTAAAATGGGGCAGTAAATCTAATTCAGAGGGTACTCTAAAGCAATAAAAAATAAAGACTGTGGGGTACTCAGAAATGACTGTAGTGAGAATCAGTAATGTCCCTGAAAGAGTTAAAAGTTGTAGAGCCAAAAAATATGCCTATTGTAGAGCTTTTAAGTTTTATCCAGCTGTAATTAACTGAATCCATAACATTATTGCTTTCTGTTACAGCTTAAAATTGAGACCTTACTCCATTCCAGAGAATAGTACTGTTTCTCCTTCAGTTTCCTTTATTTATATGCATATAAAACCTGCTTTCTTGTTGTTTCTCTGTTAACCCTTTGAGGATCAGATGCCTCCACTTTTACCTGTGAACCAAATCGCTTTGTCCTTCAGTTATCCTCCCCCGGTGGTGGGATTCCTATACACTGGGGATTTGATCTCAAATCCCTGCTTTCTAAAAACGGGTGAGAGCTGAGGCTACGGTTTTAGGTCTGAGTAGGGCTACAGCTTATCAAGCTAGAGTCGCTTCCAGTAGGTGCAAAGACTGTGACACTGAGCAGTGCTGGCACATCTGTCACAGACAAGATGACACTTTCATTTGATAAGCAGTAACCTCAGCTATTGTCAGTCGTAGAAAAGTCTGTACCGAAACCTAGGCTGAGCCCTGTCCTCAGGAAACAACTGATGCTTTTAAGAGAGCTCCAAATTTCTAGCAGGGTTTTCCTCACAGCTTTCTGCAAGGGTCCTTCTTTTAGCCAATTTTACTCAGTAACTGTTCAGATCAAGTTTCAGTTTCTTGTTATGAAATCATCGAAATGTCTGAAGTTTTCTTTTGATGTGGATTGTTTTGTCTTCATTGTTAAATGCATATGATGGCATATGTTTGATACATTCTCAATCACAAACAATCCTCAGGGTGCGAGACTGAAGAGTACAGGGGTGTCATTTAGCTAAGGAAATGACTAAAAAGAAGAGGGCTGCAATTAACAAACTTAAATTTAGGTGTATAGTATCTGACTTCTTGCCTTTGCTCTGTGTTATTCCATGGCTGATCTAATATTCCATGCCTTGGGTTTACTCAGTCCTGCATGGAAAATATAAGTGGAGTTGCTTTGTTTGGTGTGAAGAAAGATTTAGAGTAGTTAGGATTACTAAAACCCAGATTCAATCCAAAATATAAATTCGCCTAAATCAAGGAACAAAAAACTTTTAATTAGGGGTACACGTAAGTAACTTGCTGGAATGGCTGGTGAGTTGAGCCTCAAAGTTGGGTGGATGGGAGTGACCCTGCTGATCTGCAGGGGAGATCCAGGGAGTTAGAGGTATATACAGTGGCACAAAGACCTGTGCTTGCTTAGTCCTTTGGCACTGCCTGCTCCCTGGCAGAAGGAACCTTTTTGTATCAGCTAAATATTTTTAGATAAGGCGTAGGCCCCAGAGGGTGCCTAGAATCCTTGGGGGTACAGATAATGATGAGGCCTTAAGCAAAGGGGCTAAAAATTACTTTGTCTGTGTCCATCCTTTACACGGGGAAAAAAACCCAACCCCTTGACCAATCTGGCATGCAGGTGATATGTGTATGTGCACTGAGGGCTTTTCTGCCACTGGTCATGCAGTGAGAGAAGTGACAGGACTGTATGTTAGAGCCAGCAGCACTCGGAAGGGTCTGAGTCTGCTCTAATTTGGGAGTTCTGGTGTTGAAACACTGCATTTTGAACAAAGTCCATATCAATTTCGGCAGTTAATTGCTAGGGCTTCTCCCAATCTAGCTCGGGAGTTAGCTGTGACCAAGGTGCCTGCAGCTACCAGCAGGGTGGTGGAGACAAGAGTGAATGAGAAGGAATGAACTCAGAATAGGCTAGGGGCATCGTGGAGAACTGGCGAATAAAAGGCCTTATTCTTGGGCGTATGAGCAAGATACAGTGCCCTGTCACCTTGCCTCTCTGATGAAAGGTTTTGCTTTGCTCTTTCCACAGTACCTGGAAGGTTTTTACATTCCTGCCTCCCTGTCAGCTGTTCTGTCTCATGTTTTCAAATACGTGGGAGATGATTTTTCCTTCAATTGCTCCTGATCTCGGGCCTGAGTCACGGACCACGCTAAGAGTGGTGAAGGACATTTCCAATTTGTGGCACTGTGGTGGCAAGACAGGCTTGGAGAAGACCTGAAAGAAGAAGAGCCCTGCTGTAGAATTGGACCCTTAAAACCAATTAATTTCTTTGAAGGTAATGGCATTACCCAGTGTGCATCCGCTTTCTGTCTGAAAAGGGCCACAGCCTCTCACAGATCCACAATCTGTGTGTTGCCCTGAATGTGTGGAGTTTTTTTAATATATAATGATGATTTTTATTTACTGTGGCAGAGGGGAACGAATGAGAGTCTGCCACAACATGAATAGAAGCAATTCCACACCTGTCCCTTTAAATGCACATTTGTGGTTGGCTGCCTTTTATTGTCCTCCCTCCTCTGGGGCTGCAGGGGAGTGTGTTGGTGTGTGTAGAAGGATTTCCCAGCCTAGTGGGTGACCCCTCATCTTGCTGCTCCAAGCAGTGGCTTCCCTCCTCTCCTTTCTTTCCAATATTTATTGGAAGCACGTGCTAAGGAATCTGTGAGCCTGCAATGCTAATGAGTGCGTGGCACAGAGCGGAGCAGGGCACCAGATGCAAAGGGACAGGCATGTTTCCTAATGAGGGAGTCCCGAGACCCATCTGTTGAGTCTCGTGGGTCCTCAATGAAGTTAGCTGCGCAAGGTTGCCAGAGGAGGTTTTTTTCTCTAATGCTTTTAGTTCTCAACAAGTGCAATCCTGTATAGAGCAGCATGTCATGGGGTTAGGCTTTGTTGTTACTAGCAGATAATGTGACTTTGAAAAGAACGCCCCCACCCCAGCTGAAAGGAGGATAACCCTCCTCTACCCCCTTCCTTCCCATCCTCCTTGCTCAGATCAATAACAGGTCCCTAGGCACAAAGCCTGCATTCTTTTATTCTCAAATTAGAGCAGCTGCAGCAGCAACACCACAGCTCATTGGAAACCTATTAGCTTTTGAAAGACTTAATCCAGTTTGAAAATAACTAGTGTTTCTCAATCCTTCACGCACTCACTCCTGTAAGAGGCAATATTCTTAGGCTGCATTGAGAGCGGACTGGGCTTATTATTATAATAACCTACATCTCTCTCGGTGTCCCAACGGGGCAACAAAAAAGGCAAAATGTCAGTTTCCCAGCTTCACATCGCCTAAGAACATCGGATTTACTCTGCCATATCACACCCTATCACTGAGCTATGCTGCCTACCATCCTGCCTTCAATAGTGTCCAATACATTGTGATTCACTCTCCAATTTCATAGTTTTTAAGGCCAGAAGGGACTATTATGATAATCTATTTGACCTGCACAACATAGATATTAGAATTTCATCCTAGGTGGGACAAAAGTTGGGAGCAGCTGGATTCTTTGATGCTGCTCTACTGGGCAACAGTGGAAATGTGGGGGATTTTGGAGGGTACTCTGCTGTAAGGGGAGTTTGTTCTTTTTAAGCACATTAAATACAGAGCTTTGCAACTGGGAGCCTTGTAGATAATCAGCAAATGCCTTGCTATAGAGTTAGAGGACCTGATTTTAGGTAGAAAAGGCTTGCTCACCTGTCTTGGCTTCTTAGCTTTTGTATCTAATCACTCCTTTACTGTGGATCTCCTTGCAGTAACCCTGTGAGCTAGTTACTCCCATTTTAAAGGTGGGGACCTGAACTTCAGCAATTGCTTTGCCCTTCAGAAACATTTAGGCCCTAAATGCCTTAATATCTCATGCTCCAGGTCACACTGGAAATCTGTAGGTGATCAGGAAGCTTGTTTTCTCATTTTTCTTGAGTCCCAGCCTATTGTGTTTGCTGGTACATCTTTCTCTGCTTGGACTTTTTCTGTACCGTGCCAGTCCTAAACCTTTCCTGTAAGTGCTGCCAACTGTTATCGGTAATGACGGTACAGAGATTTTGCCAGTAGTAGCTGGGGCAGGACCACCAACTGACTTCCTGAAGGCCACCGAACAGCAACAGCTTTTGATTTCTACTGACCTGGACCAGATTCAGTGTGGTGACCTAGAGCTAAGGGGCTCAGTATCTCATTACTAATCCCTTGAGCTAGCCAATTCCTTCTACCAAGTCAATGTTTTCTAAAGTGTTAAAAGACTTTTCCTGCCTGCCTGCCCATTAAATCCTGCTCTTCTGTCCGTGTCCTTGGATCAGCCTAATCACTGAAGTGGATCAGTTTCAAGTCTTAATGATGCAAGCTGTGGTACTGACAATGCAGAAGATGGCAGGCAGCACAGCCGAGGCGCTGCATTGCGGGCAGCGGGACAGACGCTGCTCAGAGGGGTCTGCTTTGGGGTAACCCTGAGATGCTGCTTTTGTAATGCATTGCCAGCTGGGACATGAGGCGTTTCCTGCTTCTAGCTTATTTATCTGAGACTTACAATCCATATCTATTTCTAGATACTTCAAATCTAGAAAAAAGAGACCAGGTGTTTCTGTGAATCGTCCACTGGTTTTACTGTTTGGGTGCCTCAGGTATTGATTCTCTTCTGTGATATTTTAATCCTCTCACTTTCTGAGTCGGGGAACCTGGCTTCACAGAATGCATCACACAGAACGCCATCACTATGTTCTAATGTATCCTTATTATTGAAGTCTTATATTTTAAAGATACAGAGAAATGTGTTTCAAAAGAGCGTGTACAGAAAACCATCATGTTTTACATTAGAATCTGCAATAACCTCATTCACATACACGTAGCAGGAAACAGCTTCCATTTTCTTGATTTTAAATTGGATACAGAGCAGCTCAGAAGTTCAGATTTTCTATGTATGTGTCTCCTCTTCCAGCAGAGCTTCTTCAAAATTCATACAGGCTTACAAGGGTGGACATATGCATTGCTCCATGTATTTACTTTTTTCCCCCCTCATATATATGAAAAAGGGGAACTATTCTTAGACATTTCAGCTACTCATCCTTGATAGCTGTTTTCTTAATGTTTACTCTGGTAAAGTGGGCATAGCTGTATTTTTAGGAGGAATGTTTTTCTTCTTGCAAAGTAGGCACGCTGTTCCCCCCACTACTTATGCAGCTCTACGTGTGGTGGTGTCTGTGGACACACATGCACTTGAATACAAATTTCCCTCATCAGTTTTTTCTTGAAACAAAAATTATTCATAGACAGCATGTCTGCCTTTGCCTGCATAGAGCACACCAGGCTGCAGATGAAAAGAGTGTGTATCTCCAAGCTTCTGTGCGTGTTCTTAAAGAAGGACTTGTGTATTTGCTGGGCGATACTAACCACGTTTGCCCTTACTTTCAGTCAGTGGATCAGGATACTCTAATTCTAGGATATCTCATTAAGAATATTCTTACAATGGTTAATTAGTCTCCAGAATCATAGGGGCTTGCTCCTTCTCAACATTGGTGATACCAGTTAATGATCTGTTAACATTTGAAACTAAGTTCTTAATGTGGAGTTTGACATGAAGGCCCATGTCTAGTAAAGACACAGAAGCAAAACCTAACAGTGTCCTTCCTCTTGCTAGTGCTTTGTTTATCTGAATTGTTTCCCAAGTTAACTCCTGTGGCCTAACCCCATAGAAGAGAAGATCTAATCTCTGATTGTCCTAGGGGACTATTCCTGCAAGGTCCTTGAAGAATATATCCTGTTTCTCAGTCAAAGGGATGTGTCCTGTCTTCTCTTCTCATTTGAAGATTGTTTACCTGTTATTTATGAACTGTGTTTTGTCTATGGACTATTCCTAGTGTGGTGGCATTGTGATGCTTCTTAGAGGAGGAGGAAGGATTAAAATGGCTCAGACTTTACATTCAACACCACATATTGTATGCAGATTTACAGTTATATTACAAATGCCCCGAAGCCCAGCCAACCCTTGGAGGCAGCAGGAATTCTGCCATCAGTGGAAGACAGATTGAGTCTGTAATAGAGAAATATTGATAGAATTCATAATTAGATGTTCTGATGATGTTTTAGAGCATCATGGTATATGTTGTTGGGTGTCAGATGTGGAACAAAATATTGACCATGTCAGGATGGTGCTAACCTAAAAGCAGTTCAAGGATCAAATTATGCATGAGTCTAAATATTCACACTCAGCTGTAGCAAACAAAATGCTCTCATTTATGCTGGCTAGGATTACAGTTTGGCAATTTTATTAGAGTATGAAGAGGTCACTTATTGTTTCAAAGACGTTTTTTCCTGAAAGGAAGGCAACCAGTGCTGAAGGGCTGAATGCACTGAGCTGTGCTCATTTGGATTAAAAATAGGTATTTTGGGCCAGCGGAGCTTCAAAATAAGCAAATTCTCAAACCAAACAGTTTTCCTTTTAGTAGCCGAAAAGGAAACCACACATCCAGGAGGAATGTAGATCAAAGCAAACTCTGCAAATGATGCAGAAACACATAAAATAACAAACAAGGCTGGTGGGAAGAGGGGAGCTTTTGTAAGCAGATAGGTCTGTTCACATTACACTGAAACCAAATGCAAGATTGCTAAAGAAGATACTTGAGAGGGGTATATAAGGCTGTAGATTTTTTTCCTCAGAGGATTTTTTCCAGCCTGTTTTTGCATGTCTGTTGTATTTGCAAAGTAACATATGAGGGACATACTCAGCACCAGATCTCACTGATAGCAACTTTTGCCTTTCACCACTCTATCTTATCTCTTACTTTCCTTCTCTTCCTCTAGCTTCCCTGAGCCTCCCTCTGCCTAAGTCTATGGCAAAACATGTTTGCTTTACTGCTTGCCCATAATACTATTAAAGCACATAATCAAGTCATCTTCCATAACAAAACTTTCCGTATTTAGGTAGTTTAACTTTCATACATTCAGAAGAGAACATTTCTTATTGTATATAAGTACTAGCTGGTTGAATTGGAAAGCCTTTGTTTAATGTGTGATATATGAGAATACAAATCTACCTCAGAACTGTTTTTAATAGAAAATATGAAGAGGAAGTTATTGCTAAATATTTTTAAGCTCACTGGTTTACTTTTTTTAAGTAAATATGTTGCTGCAATAATCAGTGCTTGTAAAAATTGAATTGATAGGGATTTGGCAGTTGTTGCAGTGAAGTCACTCTTTAGCTTAATGGCTTGTCCAGTCCTTTCTTAAATGCATCTTCATGATGGGCATATAATTCCTGAACTCCTCAGGGTTTTGATTCACAGAGTTCTTG